TATAGGCGGCCGAGGTACCACAAAATCCGAAGCTGGAGCCGTGGTGTGCGCACTTGCCGTCCACCAATGCCACCCCACCATCCCCCCCGCCGGCTCTGCAACGCTCACATTGTGATGGACAACCCGTTGAGGAGATTTCGTCTGCTACTGTCTGCACCTCACAAAATCCACAACATCTGGGCTTGCAGAGACATCGACACGTAGATCAGAAGTTCAGATATGGGTGCGCAGGACCTGTAAAACCACGACCTACTGTGTAAGACTATAATTATAATACGTAAGCAGGCGTGTGAAGCATGGTTGTAAATCCGCCGAGGCCGGGCCGTCGGTGTCTGGGTCGCATCCAGCAGGTACCCATAGGTACCCCACTGCCAACAGCCAGATTGCACCCCTTTCTTTGGCCCCCAAATCCTGGTCTATACATGAGCCTGTGTGCTACAGCAGGATCCCGAAAACGAATGATTGCGAAACATCTCAACACCCTGAATCTAACAGCACCTTCACAGTGCGCAATCTCCGGTTTGGGTTGCCTCGCCGCTGGGCATGAAAAGTCGCCTCGGCTTCCGGCCGAAATGTCTAGAACAACCTTCCCCCTTCCCAACCCTCCCCCAACTAAAACTTATTTGTACGCCCTGCTTTGGACCTCCAGGGACCCCTCCTTCAAACCCCAGACCCTCCTACCTCCTGAACTCATGACGTGCATGGTGACATATACAGTATGGCTTGGCTTTTGTCTGCGATGCGCTACACTCCGAGTTGGGCTCGGCCGTACAATCCGCCGAGGCCTTGGGCCGCCCGCCGTGGACAGGTTTGCGCCCCTTTATTTTGCACTTTGTGGCCTGAAATGGGTACCCCCCAGCCGACAAGTGTCCGGGAGCAAACGGTGCGTCACCCCGCCCCCCCACCCCTCACCTCCGGGCCACCCCCCCACCCCACCTGCCCCCAGCCCCCTGGTTTGGGTTGCCTTGTTACAGAAGCAGGCCGAGGCGGGTCGCGTAGCGTTGAAATTATATTGCTGCACAAGGGGGCCACGCTTCGGAGATGATAAAGGATCAAGATGCAAAATTCGATCCCCACCAAGCAATGGTGCCCAGGGACCCGTGGTGCTGCAAGGCTTGTAGGGCACACGAGGAATCAGCGTGTAAGCAGTCATCATCATTGGGCAGGGTACTGGTGATCCTTGGCAATCACAGCCCACAACCGAAACCAAGCTACAGAACTCAGGGTACAGCTACATAAAACTTGGCCGGTAGGGCCGGTAGGGCACTGTGAAGGTTTCTTCTCGCAAAGGCCGTGACATGACCTCCGTGACCTCCGTATCGGTTGTTTCCGCAAGCGCAAGGCTGGTGCGAAAAAGCCACCCACAGCAAAATCAAGGCCACGGGGGCATGCAAAAAATGAAGCACGATCGGTGCTGTAGGTCCCGGAAGCTTGGGAGCCTACGCAATTGGCATTTATACATGCTTGCGCCAAATGTGCACAGCAGCTGACATGGCCTGACGGTCGGCTCAGACGGATATCCATCCTCTCTCTCTCTCTCTCTCTCATTTCGTTGCACCGCGGCCTCTTGGATTTCCCGCTTGGCGGAGGCAGCATCTACGGACCTTAAAGCTGAAGGCCAGAAATAAAGAGTCGGACAGAGAACGGCTCCGCATGTTGGTACTGAATGTCGTGGTCATCATCGGGATGGGAGGCAACAGGCATGGAATGATCAGCCATGGCGAATTCAAGGGAGTCGTTTCTTTCCTTCACGAGCATGACAAGTAAGCCTGTTTTGGCTAGTTCGGGAGTGCTCATACGTACATCTGTGCACACCGTATGAGGAAAGCTTCTGCTTATCACTCCAAGAAAAGGCGACCAAATGTCGCATGCCGCGCTCATCCTGAGCCTTCGAACGTTCCGGCGATAAGCATCACATCTGCCCAAAGCTTTACATGGCAGGGGTTTTAACACTCCTCCTTGAAGTGTCCGCCAGGATGCTTCACACCAATTCACATGGTCCTTGCCGGGTAAAGCTGTCGCCCTCCATTCAAGCAGCAGCTACACATAGTTCGCTGAGAAACCTGCGATGCTTTTCTCAAACCCCAGCAATCTCGGTGTATGTGAACGTGCTCGCCATTGGTGGTTGTGAAGTAGGGTCCTGTTGGTGGGACCGGTATCTCCTTGACAATCTCGCGGACCTCGGGCACTCGAATCTCCTTCACCACCTCGCTAATCTCCACTCTGGTCGGAGCTGAATTCACTAACCTCGTCATTCCCATGTTGCACTGCACCTCTTGGTCCTTCATCACGATTGGGGCCTTGTCCTGCACATGGTCCTGTAGCTGCTCAGCCAATTCCTCCTCAACCATGTTCCTTAAACGCTCCAATCTTCGAAGGCGGCGAGGGTCATGGTGACGTTTCCACCATTGGCTGGCCTTCTTGCACCCCCATCGGATCAATTCCCATATCACCAACAGCAGCGCTCCCACCATGGCCATAATGACGTAGAACTCGAAAGATCCACCCAACTGCAATGGTACCTCCAGGTCTTCGCCCTTTGATCCACAAATCCAACCACACAACAGGATGATTCGAAGAATCTTCGCCTTGATCCCCTCTGAAGATTGCCTTCCCAGTTGCCAAAGCTCACACAAGTCAGAATGACGCTGGCGGGGCAGACATTTTGTTAATAAGTCTGCCTTCTGCACCTCACCTCTGCAATGAAGCACACGTAGTTCTCCACGGCCCACTTGTTCCCTGAGGTAACTTGCCCTGCCTTTGAGATGCCGGGTCCTCCAGGACCCGGCTCCGTCGGAGCCCAGGCTTACCGTGGCCTGATTATCAACGTGTAGTTCCAGGACCGGAACCACAATTCCAAGCTGCCGCACCACGGATGTGATTGATCGGGCTAGCACCACGCTGTCGATCGCCGCAACCAACTCGCATTCTGCGGTCGACAGAGTAATCCCTGGCGGTCCGCCGACGTGGCTACCTTGTCCTTTGCCATCGGACGTGGTAACCTAGTCCTTTATGAACTCTGGGATTTCCAATACCTTTAGAAGATGAACGTCGGAGGTTTTGCAGAGTTTCACGTCATATTTCCGACTTCGGCGCTGATTTCTTCAAGCCAGATCGATCTCTGCATCGGTTCTAGGTGCTGTCTGATTCCCACCAAGCAAAGCAGAACAAACAATAGCTGTAGCTGCTGTCCTTGCGATAGTGGTGACATTGGTGCTCTGCAGGCCTGGTAGGCTCCAGGCACATGTCGGTAGTTTGCTCCGATGCTTACAGTTGGACCTGTGGGCTCACAAGCAATCGCCCGTATATTTTCCATACTTGAGCCATGTGCTTTGATTTTTGATGCAACAACTTCAAACAAAGGAAATCGCGATCGTTCATAGCTGGGCATTAGAAAAGATGTGTGCACCAACCCGACACGAACAATTGAACGCAACTTAACTGACTCATAGGGAGCGCGGTCCTGAAAAGCAAGGTCTTTGCACATGTTCCCTAAACAAACAGGCGCTGGCATGCAGAAGGCAACGCGAGAAATACTCCACACAGACACACATCAGAACGTTCCTAGACGTTAACGTACCTTGGATAGCGCTCTTGAGGTTTTTGCACGCTTCAGCAGTGACATCAGATGTATCGAGCAAGCAAAGGAGAAGAAACTTTCCATCAAGCACACGTCAGGAAAAGGTCGTTCGGACGAGGTTGCTGAGACAAGTCACGGTCAAATAAGAACTTCACGACACACCCACCTCTGCTTTTCAGGGGTCGGACTGTGCAGCTGGCTTGGGGTTGAGTGTCAGGACACAGCCTGCGCTCAGTGGAAGGGGGCGAGAAGAACGGGCTTGGGAAAGATTGAGGTTGGCAGGGAAAAGCTGGCAAAAACACGGAGCCGCGATGTTATTCCGCGAAAGATGAGTTAACAGGAAAAAAACGCGCGTGAAAATCGCGTGAGAACCCCGTGAGAACCCCGTGAGAACCGCGTGAGAACCCCGTGAAACGACCGTGAATACCCACTTTTTCGGTGAATCGCTCGAGCATGTACAAAATCGCTGCTTCTCTTCTTGGATTCTGAAAAATCATCCTTTTTTTGGAGCTTGTTGCTGTTTACTTGCAATTTGAGAGTGCAGGAGACATGTATGGGCCCACGCACCCCTCCCCCTTCCCCCCAAAGCCCCCCACCCCCCCGGTACCCCCCATCCCCCACAAAAAGGCCTCTTCTGGCCCAGACCCCCATTCTGGGCTCGAAACCCTAGGTCTGGGCCAGATGAGGGCTCATCTTGAGTGGTTCGAGGGGAGGTTAGCAAAATTCGGTTTTTTTGCTTTGGAATTCGTGCCTTGGTGATCGCGCCCCCTGTTGGCTCCTGCAGGTAGGCAGTGGGACTCCAGCAGAACCCTGCGTAGGAAATTGCCCGAGGTTTTTCCATTTTTGCTGAGCAACCCTGTGAACAACTCACTTTGTGGAGGGAGTGGGCAAAAACAACATGTTCAGAATTAATTGTAGTCATTCCCCCACCTCCCCCCACAAACTCGTAAAATCCCACAATCCAATGCGTTTGGGGGTACTGTATTTTGGGTTCTTGGCTTTACACAAAGGGTTCGCCGGGGATGTTTTGAATTTGGGGCATGCAAAGTGTGAGGTAGCGAGGACCCCAGTTATCAATGTCCGATTAATCATGATTGAGCGAATGTGCAAGCGTGCAGAGAGGTCGTGACACGGTGTTAGAGCACCATGCACACGCTGAATCCAGGCAAACAAGATCGAAACTCACAAAGACTGACGTCTCTCTAAGCCTGCACACATATTCACCAAGCCCCGTATAATGCATATATATATATATATACATACATATATTCTCTATCTCTCGACGACTGCAGTGCATATTTCTCAGGAAATAAGGCTTCCAAGCTTCCTTTTTGATGATTTCCTTTGCTGCCTCCCTACCCTGTCAACTTTCTTATATTGCGGGGTCAGGGCTTTCGTGGTCTTTCCCTAACTCCCGTGGCTACCTTGTCCTTTGGACGTCCAGGGTAATGAAACTCTGCCTTCCGCTTCGCCATGCCACCGGGCATGAGTAAAGGCATATAGTGGTCCCGGCGCGCGACCTCTGTCCGGTCGGGGCAAACGACGGATCACTGAAGGCTTGGAGGACGGTACCCACCGGATTCAGATGCAACTTGTAATCCTTGGTCCGCTGCAGAAAACTCAGAATACGCATTCCAATCTGGGTCACTTTGGCAGGGTTCTTCAGAACTTGGCTGGACATCACCGACAGATGGAAAGCCAAGTCAGGTCGGGTGCGTTGCGTTAGCCAAAGTAATTCGCCCGTTATCTTCTGGCCACCCCTGAATTCCTCTGTGGTGTAGGAAGGTCCATTGGGATCCCCATCATCATCTTCCATTCCCAGCCATTCACGAGGACAGGGCACCACTCCCAAATGCGTAGGGGGCAGCTGATAGGAACGAATCAGCTCCGTGATGTAGGCCTCCTGGCTGACGGCATAGTATCCACCCTCGCACAGATGTATTTCACACCCCAGGAACTTTACGGCTCGGCCCAACTCACAAAGCTCCAACTCCGAGACCTTCCACTCCTTAGCGATCATCTCCCCCAACGCCAACACCACAGCCCTCTCCACACAGTAGCATGTCATCGACATAGACCAGGACTGCACCGAGGATATCGTCTTTTCCTTCCGTGTGCACAGTCCACAGGTTCGGCTCGATATCCCCTTGACGAAGAAAGATGGTGCAGCCGTTCACGGTGGTGGAGAGGGTCTTCAACACTTTGTCCCGATACTGCGACAGGCCCTGGTAAGTCGCCATTTTTCGGAACAATGCCCAGGAGTATCAAGACACCAGGAGGGCTCACGACCACCGTCTTTTCACCAGGCTCAGTGGGCATTGGCGTTAACATGAATGCACCAGTGACATCTACTGCTCCCACCAGCCAGGATCTTCTTCCCACCTCCACTAGAAGGCAGCGGAGCGTCTCTCCCGCCGCGCTTGATGCGAAACATTCAGCGAGCTGCTCATCGATCATGTTCCCGCAAGCCACAATCCTTGCTTTGCGCCGGTAAAGTTTGTGACTCCCCGGCTTTGGTGGCTTGATCGTGTACACGATCTTGGCTGGCACCTGAAGGATATCATCGATATCGAACTTCTTCTTGATCTCGGCCCATGTTGTCCCTTCAAAGCCCTTTTCAACAACCTCGAACTCCTCCGCTATAGGCTCTTTCCAAACCCCCAGATTCGCTCGGGCTTCTTCCGGGCTGACTTTGCGCACCACGTCCACGGCTGCCTTCAGGCCATCAAGAAGTCCCTCGATATTCTTCGTGTACTCCGGCTCTGCTTTCTTGATGCGCGGTTGTAGAGGTTCCCATTCAGCAAGGAGAGACTGCAACTTATCCAGCTCACCCACCACAACTTCCTCAGAATCCTGTGCCAGCGAGAGATTCAAACATCTCCTCCTAGCCATCATTAGGTCTTCTGTTGTGGGCTGCTCGGACACCCCCACACCTTTCACATACCATTCGGGCCATCCACTTCAATCATCCAATCCACTCCCCGACAAACTCTGCGTCCATCGGCTCCGTGTTTCCTTCCGGCTCTTCGTCATCCCTGTCCGTGAACTCATCATCGGATACTTTGTTGTATTGATCTGGGTCAGGATCATCCGGAAACTTCTCCTCCTCCTCGTCAGATTCATCATCACCATCTGGATCATCTCCCTCCTCCTCCTCATCAGGTAGAGCAACGTCTCGAAGGGGAAAACCTAGTTTACGAAGTGTGTCCAAATCCTCCTCCTGCAGTCGATCCACTCCAGAGGGGGTGTATCCAACCAGCAGCCACTCGTTCGGTGAGTTGGGAACGAAGCCATGGAACTTCTTCGGGTTAAACCCTGCGGCCTTCTCCGTGATGTTGTAGAACCGTCCGGGGCATTGGCTTCCATCTGGTAATGCTTGAGATGCTTCGCCGGGTTCAGCTTCACCTCGTGTTGGGTTCGAACGATCATCTCCAGATACCCATAGCCCTCGTCGCGATCCATCAGAGACCTCCACCACATAGTTCCATGATCCCCTCTCGTTGTGAACATCAGTGTGTGGAGGAATGGCATTTCCGGTAAACACACCCAGCGTAGCCCAACTGACTGTTCCTTCAGGTAGATGATTGGTGGCCCTCTTGAGGTATTCATTCAAGTACTTCACGACAGTGTCCTTATTCCGGGTCTGCACTGTAATCCCCCTGTTTCCACCCTGACAGTAGGCAAAGGCTTGAAAGCATCCTTGCCCCCTTCTAGTCCTCACCTTAGCAGCCACCACAAGCTTGTCCAGCAGCTCCAAGCAGCCCTCCTTCGTGAAGTCCTCCATGTTCAACAGATGCTGGGCTAAGTCCTTGACACTTGCCAAGGTCTCTCTGCTGTTGGCTCTAGACCGCATCGCTCGGACCTTCGGGATAGAGGAGCCCGTCGATGGACTTCGGGGTTCATGTCCTCCTTCTGGTGGTCCGCTAAGTTCTTCACCTGCACGATCAACCGGAGAGGATTTCACGTTTATTCGACGTCGCCGGCCATGACCTTCGCGGGCGGTTGCAAGAAGAGTTCCTCCCTTTGCTGACGGCAGAGGAGGATCTTTCAGGTCTGCAGGACTCGTTTTCGCACGAATTCTCCACGACGGCTCGGCCACCAACGGAGGAACCACATCCTTCAGCGGTGGAGGCTCCACAGGGGTTCTCACATGCGTGGTTTGCACATAGCCACCGCCATCCTTCAAAAGGCAATGTCCTCCTCGAACATCTCTTCAACAGCACCTGTCTTGTAGCGCTTGGTCTTGATGTAGCATGGTGATCCGAACGGTGCCAACATGGGGTTTGGAAGTCCCATACGATCGTGCCGTTGCATGACCGCTGCAGCATGGAGAGCCATAGGCCAGACCCCTTTGTGAAGCGCTCCTGCATCTAACAGCGTGCGGATTCTCTTCTTGAGGTACTTCACGCCGGCTTCCGCAACACCATTCGAGGCTGGATCATCTCCTTCCGTCGTTGTGGGAATCATTCCCTTTCCAAGAATCCAGTTTCTAATCATCTTGCTTCTCAGCTCACCAGCCCTATCGCCATGCACCCGATGGAGAGGAAAACCCAGCGCTTTAATGTCCACATAGATCCGCTGTAGTGCTGGTAAAACGCTGGCAGCCTTCTTATTCCTCATCGGTACAGCGAAGTAGGCCGTCTCCAACTTCACTGGCTTCTTGAACGATTCCATCAGTGCGTCCCAGGCCTTCTTCTCCTCCTCCTCGGAGGGCATATCTTCTTCAGGCACTTCATCAGGACCCGACATAGCACCTGCCCCAAAACCATCGGTATCTCCCGGTTCCTCCTCCCCTTCAGAGAACTCATCATCCTCTTCTTTCGGGATCGGGTATCCGGCCTCCTCGGTCACGCCAGCAAGCTTCGGAAACCGGTAAGCACCTATCAGGAAGTAGCGAAGACCCTATGAGTCTGGGGTATAGCCTGGGTGTTTGAGAGGCCCAGCCACATCGATGCTCAGGGTATACGCCATAGGGTGAAGTGTTGCCCTATGCTGCCGCCCGCTGCATTTCTGACGCACACAGCACAATTCCTTTCAAACGGCTGGTGGTTGTTCAAGACGTGATTCCTCCAAGCCGCTTCCGTTTTCAACCTCGCCACCCTTCTCCTCGTTGGGCTTTGAAGTCCACACCACTCGTTCACGAAGCGCGCCGTGTCCTGGGTGCTCAAGGATCCACCCTCAATGCCCACCTCCTCAGCGAACACCTTGTAGGCCCCATCCTCCGCCCAAGTGGCTCCCACCTTTGAAGACGGACACTTTTCCAGGACCAAAGCCGTTTCAATACGACCACCGCTAACTTGACCTCTGAATCTTGCCATTGTGGAGATCACATTCAGGTAGTGGATCTTTGCTCGGAATCCCTCATCCGTTTGGTGTTGCATTTCAGACAACGCAACATCTTGAACCACCATCGCCGCAATCTTTCCCTGGAGTGCAGCCCACAGCAGTATCTTCCAAATTTCCACATCACCAGTCTGACCCCTCAATCTCTCCAAGTCCAGAACCACAGCGTCATGTTTTCCATCCAACGACCATATTGGACCCCGAAGTCGCTCCGTGCGATTCCATCGTAGTATCCACGTAGAAGAGCGACTCAACCTTTTCCTCCGCCGTCTATTCACCGGAAGACTCTTCAATCTTTCCCACGGGCTGATGTCCTCCAGGTCGTGGTAGCTCATCATCTCCTCCTCGGAGATCGCCTTGAGGAACGCTGCCTTCCTCCACGCTTCCTGAGCACACATCACCTCTCGGGTCTCGACATACCTCAGCATAGCCATCCACCAGCTTACCTTATGCTCCTGGAGATTCTTCGCCGAGGCCTGGGTCACATCACGTAATTACTTGGTTCTCGAGCTCTTCAATCAATCGCAGATCTCTTTCATCACCAATTTCGGGACACCCATTGCGAAGGCACAAATCCTCTTTCGTTCCATCCGGACACACCAACCAGCACCCATCTGCATCCCACGACAGAGAGTATCCCAGGGATCTTATCAGTCGGCCCAGAGGAATGAAGCCCAGGAGTCTTATCATCCACCAGAAGAGTTCCCGCCTCCGTTTTCTTCATGGCCGCATGACCTTCACCAGCAAGCACGACATCCACCGTTCCGCTGTCGCCCCTCGTAAAGCATGAGTGGCCCCTGAATCCAAGAGAGCTCCACGAACTGCCTGTCCGATCGTGTCACAAGTCATCCTCAGCACACGCATCTTCTTGATCTCGTCCAAGGCTCTCTCCATCAGGGTTTTCACCTCCGCTGTCTCCGTGGGCTCAAAGGTGATAGCTCGAAGTGGTCGTGCTGCAGCCTTGTCTTGTCCTGATGCACCCTCATTCGGAAGCGTCACCGGGGTAGTACTTGAGGAGGAACTTGATGGGTTGCCAACTCCCTCTGCGGTATCCTTGTCCTTTCGCTTGACTCCAGGCACACCACAGTCTTTGACACGATGACTCGTCGACCCGCACGCCAGACACTTCGACTTCTTGGCCTCCTTGGACAATCCCGCCATAGTGTGCTTGTACCTGCACTTGTTTCCCCTGGCGCATCCCTTGTCTTTGAGGTAGAACTTGCAGACGTCGGGCGGTGTAGTCGCAGGAGGGCCTTGATTCTTAGGAGACTCATTGTTTGTTGGTGTCGACGGTGCACTGACACCCTTGACTCTCGGAGGTGAAGCAGACGAAGTCGTCGCATCGCCAGCCATTGTCCTCACATGGGTCTCCAACTCGGCCAAAAAGTGTTGGTGGTACTGCAGCACAGTGTGGGGCTGAGGGTTGTTGTCCACCTGCAAAGAAGCCCTCATCAAGGAGACCCGGAAGGCCAGCTCATTATCTGCTCGAATCACATCCTGCGACAGCCTATCCAATCCCCTCATCAAGATCGAGGCGTCGGGTTCGACTATCCCAATGCTTCTCGCCCTCTTCAACCACAACAACCACTTCCTGAGGCCCTCTACAGCTTGCATAGACGACTGGCATTCCGGCGGCGCTTCCAAGTTCTGCAAGATCAACGTCTTCTCTTGCTTGTAGCCCGGCTGGTACACAGTGAGGATTCTGCACATCACCCCCAAGGCCGTGACGTCTCCATGGGTGATGATGTCTCGTCGTTGCGCCTCAGGAACTGCCGACAAGAGCATCGCTGCCGCCCTCCTTTCCACTCTGGACCACTCTGGCTTCAGAAGTAGCCCTACAGCCCTAGGCTTCATTTGCAATCGTTGCAAGGGAGAAGCCGCTGCAAATGCCTGACACCACTGCGACGCTTGTCTCAACGTCTCACCCCACCACGCCCCGGATGTGTCTGAAATGTCCTCCAGGATGGGGCTGATGTGTGTCATCCAATTGATGAGATCGATAGCAGCGGTCTCCGGGGAGTACTCGTCGAGCTTTGGCAAATCCTGCATCCCCGGCTTCACCGTCTCGGGTTGACCTTGCTTAAGGCCGGCGGCACTCTGGTTCTTGTTCAGGAGCTCCTCAATGCCTCGGGCCATTGACAACAGCACCCTTTCAGACGATGACATATTGGTAGTGGAAGTCCCCGGCACCTCATTTGGTCTTGTAGACGACTCCCTGGGTGGACTTAACGGTCTTCCCAAGCCCAACATCTCCCGAATCGAACGACCTTGTTGTGGCTCAGGCACTGGTGGTGGAGGTACGACAGGCACAGGCGCAGGCTGACATACATTAGGTATCCCCGGACGCTGTAGACGGTGCTCATCATTATGGTGACGACCAGGTAGTACTTGCGATTGCTCCGGTAGTCCAGGAGATTGTCCACCCAAACTACTAAGCCCATATGCTTCACAAAATCCTCGCGATTGACCTGTTGGCTCCCCAGATTGCGCACCTGGTCCATTAACCAGATCCCAACCAAACCCAAGGTAGTACTTGCGATTGCTCAGGTAGTCCATGAGATTGTCCACCCAAGACTTGACGTTGAGGGACTTCCCCTCCAAGAATTCCAAGCAAGTCTCCTTGACTTGCCCAGCCAACATCTCCACCTCCCAACACAATGCCCGAACTACCCGGATTCAAACGTCCAACAGTTCCAGCGTGCGTTGGCTCGGTGCCCTGCTGTGCTCCCATGAGCTCTCGGCCTGAGGGGAGTAAAGCATTCGCCCTCGCATCGTCCATCCATGCTACTATTCCCATCCACTGCATACCTTGTCTTTCCATCAGGTAAGCTATCCACATGGCTTCTTTCTGCTCGCTCCATCTCCAGTTGCATCCTCATCGCTTGCGCCTGTGCCAGGGCCTCCTCGGACTTTCGCCTCTCTTCTTGCAGCTGGGTCATCACACCTGCCAACTGTCTTTTTACCTCCGCTTGTACATCTTCACGATGCAGGGAATCAGAGGTTCCATCCGAAGGGGCTCCAGGCTGGTTTGTAGTCGTAGAGCGCGGGGGTTGCAACAATGGAGAAACATTCTGCAGATGTTGCGCCGTGCCCGGTGGCATCAACGAAGGCGAAGTTGATGATGTAGCCCAAGGTGCTCCTTCCATCGAAGCATTAGTCGGAGTCCAACTTGTCCGCATCTCCTGATGCAAAACCGCACGTTGAGTTCCAGCAGATCCTGACACTGCTGTCGACGAAATTCGTTGGAAGAAATCACCCAGTCTCATCATCCATTGCAGTGGTGTCGCCTGCTCACTCGATGCTCGTCCTGCTGTTCGTGCCACATCGTACGCGCCCGGTTCCGGTTGATTCACAAGCACTGACGGTTCTGTAAGCGGTGAAGGGGCCAAATCTCCCATCTCAGCACGTTGTCTGATTGGCAAGGAAAGTGGCCGTTCCAGTCCAGTCTCTACCTGACTCGGAGCTTCATCACCTTCGTGACTCTGTCCAGCAGGCCTTCTTGGTCCAGCTCCATTCACCATAGGACACGTCGTAGATCTCGAATCATGCACCGGTGCAGATGGTGGCAGCAGAGCATCCTGTGGGCTGGCAGCAAGTTGGGCTGTCATAACCTGTTGGTACTGAATGTCGTGGTCATCATCGGGATGGGAGGCAACAGGCATGGAATGATCAGCCATGGAGAATTCAAGGGAGTCGTTTCTTTCCTTCACGAGCATGACAAGTAAGCCTGTTTTGGCTAGTTCGGGAGTGCTCATACGTACATCTGTGCACACCGTATGAGGAAAGCTTCTGCTTATCACTCCAAGAAAAGGCGACCAAATGTCGCATGCCGCGCTCATCCTGAGCCTTCGAACGTTCCGGCGATAAGCATCACATCTGCCCAAAGCTTTACATGGCAGGGGTTTTAACACCGCAGCCCAAAGGATGCAAAACAATTGGCACAAAAGTCAAAAGTTGCTTCCCCGAGTCGTCCATACAATACGTCAGTTCGGCAGCTGAAGGGAGCCGAGCAGAGATGTTGTGTTTTCTTTTGTGGGTGTATGTTTGTGTAAGCCTGCGTGCGCGCGCCGTGCGCGTGTGTGAGAGAGAGAGAGAGCGCGCAGCAGCGCAGCCGAGCAAAATGGCCCATATTGAGAGTGAGCTCTCAGATATCTGAGCGCGCTTGGAACCTAGTGTCAGATTTGATGGGCGTTTAGCCTGGCATTGTTCGGACATCGACCAGCATCAACTGCAGAATCGTCGGAACGGCAGCGATTCGTGCATGGCCCCGGGTCGTGTTGTCGCAGTTGGGATAGAATGCCCTGAGCTGCCCCGTTGCGATCCGTTGCGTGTGTTTTGTGCGCGTGCCACCAGACAATTGCATCCTGACTGCGACTCAGGATGCTCCCTCAGTGAGTAGGGAGATGGAGAGCGGCAGAAAGCAAGAGAGAGAGAGAGAGAGACATAGACAGAGGTGACCGAGAGATACATTCACGAAAATATCAGGGAAAGAGACGTCGAGAGAGCGGGTCAGAAAAATCACGTACCAGGCCGATATAGTCCGATAGTCCACAAACTTATGAGCCGAGAACGCTATAAAAAAGGGAGTCTGTCTGATTCGGAATCGGCCTCTATCGGAAGTGCCCCAGCCGATCGGCCCCGATTGAGAACATGGGTCTTCAGGGTAGACGGATAGGCTGGCCTAACAAACAAATTGCTACTTGTGGTACAGTAGTGTCATGTCACGCCGTCGTGCGCGAACTCGCGACACGGCGTTGTCACGTGGGAAAGCCTGTAGTCACGACACGTCGCGCGAAGCCGTGCCATAAGCATACTCTCGAAGCGAGTTCCCGAATGCGCACGTGGTCCACAGCAGATGCTTCAGAACTCGGGAAACTAGGATTTCTGTTGTCACGCGCAGGGATTTTAGAACATGCAAATCCCCAGTGTGACCGCTGAACGTTACGACTTCTTGTTTCCTTTTCCCCCAGTGATTGCAAGCAACACAGGAAAAATGTTATGGCTTCGGGGTTTGACTGTATCGTCATTTTCTGGCATGTTGAAACAGGTCCACATGAGGCTGTCGCGAGCTGGCGCGAAGCGCGCTCTAACTCGGGATGAAAACTTCTGGCTACACTACACTGCGCAGGTTGACGTTGGGTAATGGCTTTCCTGCAGTGTGCACGCGCAGGAATCAATTGCTGACTGCTTCCCCGCAGCGTGCACAGAGGAAGATGCTGCTGCAAGTGAGTTCTTCAAGGTCCATGCTTCTTAGCAGGGCTCAACACGAATGCTTCCCCCGCAGTGTCCACGCACAGAGATACAACTTCAAGTGGTTTTAAAAGGTAGGCCCATGCTTATTCGCAGATCTCGTTCGGAATGGATTCAGCGCAGTGTGCGCGCATCAAAGGCACGACGTCACACAAGACGTCACTAGCTACTTGTCTGACCATACTTCGGGATTAGGCTTGCACCGCTACGATTGAAAGACCGGCTTACCAGCCTGCACGGTTTAACGGTGTAACTGCTGTTTAAACTAAAAGAAATAGGCATGGCAGCCCCCAAGATGCAGGCGTTGCCACACCAGACAGTGACCCCAATAGGCCTGCGAGAGGAGGCGCTCAGCCTGCCTAGCAATTACAGACACCTTTTAAAGTGATATAAAGTGATTGTGGCTGAGGTGCTTCGGAGAAGGAACCATTACACAGAAGTCCGCAGCCTTTTGTCGTACCTTTGTATGCCGTGTTGAACCCATCGAAGCGCAACTGAAGATCAAACTGAAACCCCTCCAATTGAGGCCCGAGTTCGGGGTCCCCTTAAGCGGTGCCTTGTGGGTCAGCCCACCTGGAAAGCACCAGCTGGAAGTGTGCCTGCGTGGAACAAATTGGCGAGATCAAGGCAAAGCGTGAAGATTTTGCTGCGGTTGTCTGAGGTCCTTCTTGGGTATCATGAAACATTTTAGTAGCCCATCAATTGAGTGACTCCTCGTTGCAGCACGGACTGGGTGTTCCACCTCGGCCAACCCGGCCAGGAGAAGGTCGTCCCAGAAGGTGACCCTGACCCGAGGAGTCGAGGAGCTCAGACATTGGGTTCTTGGGAGCAGGCATATGGGGGCATATGAGCATCACTCAAGCTCTCCAAACATCCGAAGACCGGCGCCGCTGTCTGAAAAGCCTCCCCCCTAGTTTGAATAGGGCAAATGCATGCCTGATACAAGGGTTCAGAAATATCGCATCATTTAGACCGGTCGTGCCTGGTAGATAGAAATTTTGGGCTCCAACCCTGTAGGGCCCCTAACTCTATCGGACCTATCGGAGTAGTTCTTGTCTTCTACTCCTGACATGGCTTTATCAATTCCGATCAAAGATGCGGAGTAGTTTCGGCAATGGTTGTGGATGCCACTGCCACACAAAAACGTCTCAAAGAACCTGTAAAGTGTTGACGTTCTCCACAACCCCGCAACCAAGCCAGGCGGTGTTTTCGATAATATGGGCACGTCATTCATACACTTAGAAAATAGATCTGCGTATACCATGCCTACCCTAAAGTTCTGATGAGGCATGTCACTGCTGACAAATAACTCTTAAAGGAAACTCCTAATCAGCGTGAAGCGCTGGAAAAACTGATTGGTTAAGATCTTTGTTTGTAAGGTGTGTTGCCGTGACCCAAAACCGCCTCTATCAAAGGAGGTGCTATGTAACATATTTTGTTTAGACCAGCATGATTCAGCTTGATTATCTTGTGCTTGTTTAAAATACTCTCGATGTCCGGCACTCTGGAAATGTCCGGCTCTTCAATTCCACCAGCAACTTGTCCTGCACCCTCAGGTTAAAAATCATGACTGCTGTTGGTAATGTCGTTCTGTCCCTCTTGTGTTGGCACTATTATGAGTTTTATTATAACATGCATGTTATCTTCGTGCCTTCTCTCCTGGCTGGCTTCCTTCCTTCATTTTCCTTTCCTTCCCCTTTCCTCTTCCATTCCTTTCGTTTCCTTTCCTTTGCTCGTTTGTTTGCTTCCTTCCTTCTCCTTCCTTCCTTCCTTCCTGCCTGCCTGCCTCCCTCTCTCCCTTCCCTCCTTCCCTCTCCCGGCCTTCCTTTTTCCCAAAAACATCTCGGATGTTGGGTTCTCGTTTAGGTTCAAAACGCGAGAGAGCG